AGATGATGTTTTGGTGGTCGGGGGTGCGGTCATGATCAAGGGGGCGGTAGGAGGAGGTGTCAGAGAGTTGGTATATGTGTCTGTAGTGAGAGAGCCTACTCCTGAGAATTCTTGCGTGACTATTGCATAAAGCTTAATTTGCATCAGTCTTTGAAACTGAAATAAAAAAAGCAGTTAATTGATTAACATCCCTCCTTCTCTCTCTCTCTCTCTCCCCAACTCTTTCTACCACTTTGAGACAGTAGGAACTGCTGACGCTGGAGAATCTGAGATAACAAGGTGTGGAGGTGGATGAACACAGCAGGCCAAGCAGCATCAGAGGACCCTTCTTCAGAAATGGGGGAGGGGAAGGGGGTTCTGAAATAAATAGAGAGGGGGAGGCGACGATAGAAGATGGATAGAGGAGCAGATAGATGGCAGAGAAGACAGACAGGTCAAGGAGGCGGGGATGAAGCCAGTAAAGGTGAGTGTAGGTAGGGAGTTGGGATGGGGGTTGGTCATTGAGGAGGGAGGGGTGGATAAGTGGGACGGAAGATGGACAGGTCAAGGAGGCAGGGACGAGAAGCCCAGCTACCCTCCCTCCACACCCCCTAATCCCGCCTCCTTGGCCTGTCCGTCTTCCCTCCCACCTATATGCTCCACTATCCACCTTCTTTCACTGTGCTGCCCCCCCCCTCTTTATTTCAGAGCCCCCTTCCCCTCCCCCATTTCTGAAGAAGGGTCCAGACCCAAAACGTCAGCTTTTCTGCTCCTCTGATACTGCCTGGCCTGCTGTGTTCATCCAGCTCTACACTGTGTTATCTCTTTCTACCCCTTGCTGTTCTGCTCATTTTGACACTCTCTCTATTGGAACTCCTTCTCACCATCTATTTCTCTTTATTTCCCCAAATCCCTCATTCTCACAGAGGCGGGGCCCACAACGCTCGGTTGATGTCATCGTTTCATCAGCATTCTTACTCACTCTGTCCATCGCTTTCATCTGCTGTGCTCAGGTAAGATTCAGAATGGCTTTCCGTTTATTGAAGAGGAGGAAGCTTTGTTCCCTGTCTCTCAGGGAACACTATTTCTGATGTTTGTTGAATTGCTTTGTTCCATTCTTGTAACCACCCTCCCCATCCCCTTTGTTAATCCCACTATCCCCACACCACAGTCCCTGGCCAACACCACTATGTTACCTTAATGATACGTCATGCTGAGTGCTGAGTGCAGGGCCAAAGCTTTGCTACATTATTGACGTTGCCGTTATTGAGAATAACATGTTGAAGTAAAGCCCTGTCTACTGTCTCTGGTGGAAGTGAAAGATCCAACCTTGTGGCTTGGAGGGCAACTTGTAGGTGGTAGTACCTGCTACTGTCGTCCTTCTAGACGGAAGTGGTCTTGAGTTTGGAATGTGCCATCTGAGGATCTTTACTGAATTTCTGCACAACCCTGTAGATGGCACACACTGCTGCTACTGAGCGTTAGTGGTAGAGGGAGCAAATTTCTGTGGCTACAGTATAAATCAAGCAGAAATTGCTGGAAAATCTCAGCAGGGTTGGTACCACTTGTGGAGAGAAATCAGAGTTAACATTTCCAGTCTAGTGACATGTTCTGCATAAATACTAATCTTTCCCAGCCAGTTCTGAGGAAGGATCACTGAACCAAAAACGTTAACTCTGCTTTGTCTCCATAGATGCTTCCAGACCTGCTGAGCTTTTCCAGCAATTTCTGTTTTTGTTTCCGATTTACATCCTCTACAATTCTTTCATTTTTTTGTAAATCAGAAGTCAGACAACACCAGGTTATAGTCCAATAGGTTTATTTGAAATCACAAGCTTTCGGAGCACTACTCCGTCTGACTTTGCTGACCCCAGTCCAACACTGACGCCTCCACATCATATGTAAACCAAACAGGCTGTTTTGAGCTGCTTGTGTTGGTGGAACTGCATTCATCCAGGCAAGTGGAGAATATTCCATCACATTCCTAACTTTTGGGGAAGAGTTTTGTTTATTAGATTCAATTTCCATAACTCAAAAATATTTTCTTTCATTCCAAGATCCTCCATGGCCACATGAGCTTTCTGGATTCTCTGTATAACTGGGAGCTACTGATCTGGGAAGCAGCCCTGGCAATTTTCCTGTTAAGGTTGGTGACACTGGGCTCAGAGGTCAGCAGGAAATACAATAATGTTTCGATCTTGCTCACAGAACAGGTATGTGCCAAATGTTTATCCAGCAGAACCTATTAATGGGGAGCGAAAACAGGAATTGTTGGAAGAGCTCAGCAGGTCTGGCAGCAACTGTGGAAAGAAATCAGAGTTAACGTTTCAGGTCGAGTGACGCTCAGAACTGATGGTAGCAAGGAAAATGTTGGATTACATTCAGAAGATTGGTGGTGGTGGTAGTAGCAAGTGAGCTTCTTTTGTCTGTTCAACTATTCTTCTCTCTCTGTGGGCTCTATCATCACCCTCTCCCCTCACCAAATCTTCTGAATATAAACTGACATTTTCCTGGCTACCAATATTTCTGAGGAAGGGTCACTCAACCTGAAACATTAACTCTGATTTCTCTCCACATGCTGCCAGACCTGCTGAGCTTTTCCAGCAATTTCTGTTTTTGATTCTGATTCTGATTTACAGCATCTACAGGTCTTTCAGTTTTTATTCCATTAATGGAGATTTGGCTGGAAGGAATCCCACTGGTTCTTGGTAACAGGTACCTGCATGTATTGGACCATTTAATTCTGCTCTCACCCAGCTCAACCATTTTTACACAGGAATTGTTTTATAATTTTGGCAGATTTACAGAAAGTATTGGGAAACAGAAAAAAGTTGGCTTTGCTTTGAGGGATGGAGCTGTATTGGCAGACTGCACTAAATTCTTATCAGTGCATTTTATTCCCTTCAACAGATCAACTTGTATTTAAAGATGGAAATGAAACCCAACAAGAAGGAACAGCTCTCCATTGTGAATAACGTGCTGAAACTTGCCACAAAATTACTGAAGGTGAGAAATTCCCACTATTTTTCTAACTCTCTCCTGCATTACTCTATCTCCCTCATTTATTTGAGGAAGTATTAATGTGGCATCTGCTCGGAGGTGGCTCGTTGTCAAAATCATAATATTGGGTAGATAGGAACCGATTTTGCTGTTAACCTTTACACAGCTGAAAAGTAACTTGGCATTCACTGACTCACCAGAATAATGGACTGTCACAGGAAGTGTCTGAGGATGCTGTGGAGTTGTTCCTCTACGTGAGTCAGCACCTCCATGTGGGGAGGGAAGAGAAGTCTTGGGAGCATTGTTATCACTGAGTCAGTGCTGTGCTTTACCCCTCTACAGGAGCTGGACTCCCCATTCCGGGTGTATGGACTGACTATGAACCCACTGCTGTACAACATTACACGGGTCGTCATCTTGTCAGCAGTGTCTGGAGTGATCAGTGACCTGCTGGGCTTCAACCTCAGGGTGAGTTACCCCACCCCAAACAAAGGCTGACACAGCCATCAGTCCCAGAGTAGACCGCCTCTTACCTTGTGCTCTCACCTGCCCCATTCCCTTCGACATCACTCAGTTGCTGCTAAGCCTTTGAGCACTGGTGATTTACAATCTGTTTCTCTCCTTTTCCCCAGCTTTGGAAGATTAAGTGATCTCGGGCTTTGAGTGGAGTCTCAGGAAGAGGAGTCATCAGGTTGCCGAGATGGTGTCAAATTTGCTGGGGAGGCTGGAGTGGGAAATTTCTGCTTCGGTCACTGTCCCCTGAACAATCGATAGGGAGACACGAGGGCAGAAGCGGTCAAGTAAACTCAAGGGACCCATTTAGTATTCTTTTTCTTCTGCCCTCACCAGCCATGTCCAGGTACTCGTGCAACCCTTTTTCAAACAGTAGCTACAGGCAGTAACAGAAAGAGATGCAGGAAAGAGAAAGAAATGCAGCAGATCTGAGTAAATGAATGTGGATACAGCATCTCTCAGTTGGTTAAAAAAGATTGTATTTCAATCTTTTCCCTGGTTCTGATGAAAAATGGTCTCAACCTGAAACCTGAACCACTTTTCTCTCCTCCGTGTTGGTGCCTGACCACCTGATTTTCTGTTTTTAATTGCACAACTCTTTCCTTAACTTGTAACTTTTCCCCTAGGTACAGGTCTGATTACTCCCTCAAAAGCTGGAACTGAAGGCTGACGTTGTAAAATATTATATCCATGTTGCTGCTAAAATCATGTATTTTATCAAGGAGTTGGTCAGTGTGTACTCTTTGAATCAATCTATTTTTCTGCTGTGTATAACTGTATAATTTATTTCCAAATAAAGCTTACACTCATTTCATTCATTTTAGCTTTTCATTGTAAATTCAAGCCCTTTCTTCACATTACATAAAGCATCATCATCTGAGTGACCCAAAACATTCAACAGCAATTTTCTTTAGGAAAAGAGACCCAGAGTGATCAAGGCAGAGGGAGAATATTAGGCAGCTCAGCTGGGGAAATTGCTGTGATAAAAACCAAACTCAGTGCAGTACTCTCTGTACTGAACTAAATCAGGCTCTAGCCTGGATTTTGTGCAGGAGTAGGACCCAAACCCAAACCCATGGCCTTTTGAGTGTACCTGTGACCTATGGACTCACCCAGAGAGTGGAAGAGAGTCATCCTCGTCTGCAAGGGACTGTCAATGATGACAGCTGAGCCACAGCTGGTACTCAAGGACCGAGCAGTACAACAGAGGACTTGGAAAGAGAGGAACATGAAGTTCAATTACCTCTGCTGGACCACACTTTCATGTTAAATTGTCCCAAGGCTGTTAACAACCTCCCTGTCCCAACTGTGGAAATAACTGAAGATACAGCACCCTGAATTCAATTACCCAGTCACCTAGTTTTCAAACAACTTGCATTTACATCGTGCTTTTAACAGAAACAGGTAACATAATGGTCCCATTAGAGTGGGAGCTGGAGCATAGTGTAGCCACTCAAACAGCAAAGATAATGATTCACCATCTTGACCGCAAGTTTTGAAACACATGCTGAGATTGAAAGTTAAGGTTTATTTTACAGTGCAACACCATGACAAAGGATTTGCATTTCTCATGTCATACATTAAAAAAATATGAGGGTTTACAGATCTCGCCCTAAATGACAGTATTTATAGAGAGTGTACAGTATAAAAATTTACAACCAACACACTCAAGGCTTGTTCAGCTTTACTCAAAGGCTGCATCCACGCCATGAGTACTGTACAGTCTACAAGATGCTGTGAATGCTACTAATGTTTGGGGGGTAGGGGGGACCCGGGGGAGCTGTGTTAGTCTACCGCACCAACAAGGAAATAAAATTAGACATCAACAGCGTAGGGTAAAAACTGGAGCTCCGCTGTTTATGAATTGCTAGGAATTTCAAACCACCTTTGCATGGACTCCAATGTTCAACACTTGGCATGAACAGAATATGACGTACAGCAGTAAAATGGTCACAAGACTCCACCAGCACCACACACAGGCCAGGGTCTCCATTCCATCTCCTACACACTCTTAGCAGAAAAAGGATTTATAGTACACAGGGTAATGGGGTACAATTTTGGCCAATGCACGTTCCTGGAGGTCAAAGTGGCTTGGTAGAAGGTTAAAAAAAATGTCAACACAATTCGAGGCTGGAAAGAGCACCTTGCAGAATGAGAGCAGGACAACGAGGCAAGTTCAAAAGAGTTTCACAAAGTCTCCAAAGAGACAGGGAAATAACAAACAAGAAACAATTCACCTATGCTATCACCTGCCCTGCTCATTTCCAAAATATTCCATCACTACTATTTACAATAATTCAAGCTCTTGAATGTTTCCCACAATACTGATCTCAGTGGAGAAGAGAAATGACGAGTCAAACAAACAGAACAGGAACAGAGTGAGACTCCAACAGAACAGCACGGGAGATGCAAATTTTGAAAAAAATGTTTAAAAACTAAACGTCACAAATACTGAAGATGTTTATAAACTGCATCAAAATCACTGAAAAACAAAATATTTTACACTGATTGGTAGTCTAGTGAAACATGACATACAAAAGTTGCAGAACCTAATTAATAGCAGTTTACAACATGGACTTGAAGAACCTGGTAACAATACAGATCTCAGAAGAGACAGGAATCCTAAATTTCTGGTGGTCAGAATACTGCAACAAAGTAACAGCAAGAGATTGTGTGTGTACAGTGTTAGAAAACGTCAGAGTAATGCATGCACAGTGTGACATTGAGCTGGTTTAGAGCAGACACAAGCACGTGAGACAGCTTTTGAAATACTCATGTGTTTGCGGACCATTAATGCTAAAGGCTCAAGTAATACACAAAAAAAAGCTGCCCTGGGTAGTGTCCAAGGTCTTTTGCTCATTAACCTGTGTTGATTGCAAACCGGCACAGAAACGGTGTATTAGTCGTTACTCAATAGCCTCACACTCAGTTAGAGACAAGTCATTTCAAAGGCAGAGATTTGGTGACAGTAAATTTTCATAGCTCACGTACCACAAAAGTCACTGGCTGTGATTGAGATGTTCAAGCTGGCAAGACTGACTGGGAATATGGACTGTGTAACCACTGCTGTGATCAAAAAGGCAACGTGCCAGAGTGAGAGGAACAGGTCACTGTTGTACAAAGTGTAAACTGCACAAAATCAACATCTGTTCATTTAAAAAAAAGTGTCACACAGCCTGTATTGCCATCAGAAGGCAGACAAGTTTGTCCAAACAATGGGAGCAACCAGAAAAATCCTTCACTTTGACTAAAATGTTTCAATGCAAAAAAACTTGACTGCACTACTCAACTTTAAATAAGATGCAACTGACACTTTACAGAAATCAAAAGTTTATAAAAATAATTTAAACATATATAACGAAGTTTGCTCTCGGTTACATGGGTCTCTGAGCATCTGATTTTTTCCAGGGTCCAGGGGTTATTTGTGGTTTTCTTACAGCAGGTACAGTTCTGGGTGCAGGGCTGGAGTGGTGTGTGGAGGGGTCTTCCTCACCATGTCTCTCCATTTCGTGCTCTGCTTTCCTTTGTTCCTGGCTCTTTGACTGATTGTCAGTCCTGCTGAAGGTGCTGGGTTGTTCGGTTGCTGTAGAGTGGGAGCTGTGTCGCACAGTTTTGCCTGTCCCTTGGACAAGGTCAGGAGGTTGGAATGTTTCCTGCACCCCAACACGTGACATCTGCCTCTTTTTTTGATGCCTGTCATCTGCCTTTCCCGACACCTCACCGCACTGGAGTGAGGCACTGGCTAAATGCTCCATGGTGTGGGAAGGTGACCAAGCATAACTCCTGTTGCAGTGTCTGTCGTTTGGGCTCTCAGATTGGTCAATCACTCGTTTAGAATGAGCCACTGTAACCAGGCTGGACCCATCATCTCTGCTCTCAGCTCTCTCTCCCAGAGTCACACTATCCAATTCCTCTCTACTTCCTTCTCTATCCTTCCTGCTCACCTTCCTTGGACTCCGTGACCTACTCGTACCTCCTGCTGGCCTTCCCTTTGCATCGACCTCCCAAGAGCTGCCCTTGTTGTTTTCTGATGGTTCTTTAAACTTTCCCCTCCTTGGGCTTCCTGATGCTTCTGGTTTCTGCCTCCTTTGCTTCTCAGCTTTCTTGGGGCTAGGTGACCGCTCCCGGTACCCAGCAGCTTGCCTGGCAGCATGTCTGTGGGGGCTCAGGGCCCTGCTTTCAATGCCAGTGGCCAATACCTCGTCATTCCTGGCCAGTCGCTCTCGCCTTGCACTGCACCCACTCTCTCCATCTGGTTTTGCCGCCCCGTCCTTCACAATTTCCAACTCATCTCCTTCCTCAGCATTCTGACCACCCGTGAGGTTCGCCGTTCTAGCCGGTACCCAGTGCTGGTCAGCGGCCAGTGATCCCGGCCCCCGCTGGGCACTGGTGGGCGAGTCATGTTCTCTCCATGTCTTCTCATGTTTAAAAGTCTTTGCAGGGTCAGTGAGATGAGGGTTGGGAGTGGGATATGGATAAGATGGCAATGGCTGGTTTTCAGCAGCTGTGTTTAGTTCCTGGAGGCTGGTATATGGGGTGCTCTGGGTATCCCAATTGTCTGGAAAATAAGCAAAGCATTTATTGTTCTGCATTGGATAGAAAACAACTACCGACAAAGAATAACAACTATGTACATCACATTTCCCTTTAGCATGATGCATAATCCCATACCATCCCAAATCACAGTACGCATATCAAAACCCTTCCTAGCATGCATGATGCACCAAAACAGAGATACGGGGAGGGCGGGCCAGACAGAGAGACGGGGGAAGGCGGGTGAGACACAGAAACAGGGACAGACAGATTGGGGGGCGGGGTGTGTGGCGGCAGCGGCGAATGAGAGAGGGAGGGGGCGCAAAAGAGAGAGACAGAGAGAAAGGGCGCAAATGAGAGAGAGCGAGCGCACACGAATGGGGGGGCGCGAATGACAGAGGGAGGGGGAGCGAATGAAATGGTGGTGTACAGAGCAGAACACACCTGCTGTTTTTATACGCGAGGTACTGTTGGTTCAATGCAGGGCTCTGAGATTCCAGAGATCAAGCATTTAAATCCCACTATAGGAGGTTGATGCAAATTAAATGGATGAATCTCACTTCTACAAAACAGCACGTGGGCTGACATCAGAAAAGGATGTCAGAATGTCTTGAAGCCCAACTGGTTTATGAACGCCGTTCACAGAGAGGAAACTAGCTGTATGAGCCAGTGTTCCACAGCGCACACATTTCCCGGTTGGCTGTCCTTTGAGAGATTGAGGAGTTTGGGCCTGCATGGTCTGCAGTTAAGCAGAATGAGGGGTGAAACTTAAAACTCTTGAATGGTTCAACAGAGTGACTGCAAAGAAGGAATTTCCCCTGGTTGGCGGTGGGACAGGGGTCAGTCTCAGAATAAAGAACAAACTACTTAGGACTGAGATGAGGAGGTATTTCTTCACTCAGACAGTGGTGAACCTTCGGAATTCTTTATTCCAGAGGGCTGTGGAAACTTAGTCATTGAGAATGTTCAAGGTTGAGGCCGACAGGAAACTACTGACATTAAAGAATACAGGGATAGTGTGGGAAAGTGGCATCGAGATAGACGATCAGCCACTATCTACAGTGACACTTGATTCATGGAGTCATCTTCTTCTGTTACAATGTTCTGACACATTGATCCATTAAAGTATCCGCTGAATAGTCCCAGTCAGCCAGTGTACTATGAAACAATGATTATTAAAGTAGACTTCAATAGCACCCACACTTTGCGAACCAGCTGAAAAATAAGGAGCTTGGAGGGCTGGGAGAATCACAAATCAGGATGAAGGATTAGAAATTCTCTCAATTAGAGCTGCCATGTACTCTGAGCGTGTTAATTCAGCAGTAAACAACTACTGCACTGTTAGAAGGCAGTGTGCAGGAAGCAGGTTCCCTCAGGAATGAAGCACAAATGCAAATTTCCGTATAGTAGCTCAAGTCTTAGACTAGTGGTTTGTTTGGTTTGCCTTCCACCACTATCTGCTGGAGGTTAAACAATTTGCATTTATATAGCACCTTTAAAGTAGTAAAATGCCCAAAGACCTTCACAACTGGAACTTTCTGGTCAAATTAGTCACTAGCCACATGAGGAAATATCAGAAAAAGTGACAGAAAATTTCGGTTGGTCTTAAGGGCAAGGCAGAGAGAGAGAGAGAGAGACAGAAAGGTTTGGGAGTAATACCAGACTTAGGGACCAGGCCAAACGCTCATGCAAGAGGGGTCCAGCAAACTAACAGTTGAAGGGATGGTGTGCAAGGTACAGAGATAGGAGGGGCAGGTCCATTAAGGGATTTAAAAACAAAGAATTTAAAACTGGGGTACTGCCCGGCCAGCATTCAGTGCAGTTCAATAAGCTTAACAGATGAGGGGAGTGTGTCTCGGCACAAGTTACAGATAATTTCAAGTTTACAGGGTGGAGGTTGTGAGGACCATTGAGCGTATGGGGATAGTCAAGGCTGACCTGTAGATGAGCTGTAGCGGGGTGGAGTAATCTCATTGACATCTTGCTGTAAAGTATGGGGACAGCACAGTGTGAATGTCACCCTCGAATAACCTCCCTCGATGGGACATTTCTTATCAGATTATCAGGTCATGCTACAGCTTTTATTTACTTTGATTCTCTCAAGCTTCCTATCATCAGAACAGGTTTACATACAGGCCACCCTGTGTCTCTCACTTCACAATAATGAAGGCAGTGCTGTGCGTACACATGGCTCAATACTTCAGTGTGAATGGGGCTGGATGCCAGTCAGCCCCAAATTACATATGATGGGTTTTCTCACTGTGTTTACAGCACAGGATCAGACCATTCCGTCTAATGCTGCACAGCAGCCTCCTCCCATCCATTTGCCACTCACCCTCTCAGCATGTCCTTCTACTTCTTTCTCTGCCTATATAGTTCTCCCTTGAATGAGACAACAGTAATCACCTCATCCACACCTTTTGGTACTGAGCTTCAAAAGCTAACACTCTTAAAAGCAGAGATTGAATGGATCGGGCCTATACTCATTTGAGTTTAGCAGAATGAGTTGCAACCTTATTGAAACATACAAGAATCACAGAGATAGTAAGAACTGCCGATGCTGGAGTCAGAGATAACACAATGTGGAGCTGGAGGAACACAGCAGGCCAGGCAGCATCAGAGGAACAGGAAAGTTGACGTTTCAGGTTTGGAATCACAAGAGACTTGACAGGGTAGATGCAGGGAGGTTGTTTCCCCTTGTGGGAGAGTCTAGGACCAGAGGGCATCATCTCAGAGTAAGGGGTCACCCAGTTGGGACAGATGAGAATTCTTTTCTGTTAGAGGGCAGTAAATCTGTGGAATTCTTTACATGGGTCATCAAGTAAATTCAAGACAGAGAGGTTTTTGATCGGTAAGGGAACAAAGTTATAGGGAAAAGATAGGAAAGTAGAGTTGAGGATTAATCAGATCAACCATGATGTAATTGAATGGTAGAGCAGACTCAATGGGCTGAATGGCCTACTTCGACATCTTATAGTGTAACCACTCATTGGATAAAGGAGTTTTTATCCTAAATTCCTGACTGGATTGATTACTGACTATCTTGAATTTTTCGCTGCGATCTTCTCTCTCCAAGTGGAAATATCATCTTTCTATCTACTCTGACTGCTGCTATTTTGTTTCAGCTTAGAAAAGATGCCAGATCATTGCTTTGAAGAGCAGGTCAGCCCTGACGACCACTTATTTCTCAGTCAACATCACAGGAGCTTGCTATACACAACTGGCTAATGCATTTCCTGAATTACAACATTGATCACATTTCAAAAGTGTCTTCCATTAGTTGCAGAGTACTTTGGGGCATCCAGGGATCAGGATGTGTGACCTATAAAGTGCAAGTTGTACTTTAGCCAAGTTGGAGTGTTCACTGGAGTTTTGTACTATGACACTAGAAATCATCAGCTAGGGAGTTTCAAACTGACATCCAGGGCTCTATTAGAAAGCCATGAGGGCGAGGGAGAACAGGAACCTGAGCGAGCAAGATGAAGATGATGAGCAAAGAAAAGACAGCCAGAATGACCGTGAGCAATAGAGCATGAGCACAGGTAAACACAAGCAAAAGAACGGGAGAAACAAAGTGAGAGGCGTGAGGGGAAGCAAATGAAAGAGTAAAAAGAAAAGCAAGGGTTTAGGGATGGTGGCTTTGACAGATCCACAGTTCAGGTCCATCACACAGTCACTGCCCTGACAGAGCACGAAATCTCAAGCCACAATTTCAGAATTTCCAAGTTAGTCAGTGCTCGTATTAAATCCTGAAATTGTGGTCAGATTCAAAGCTGCACAATTGGTGACAGCTGCCTGGTTCACCATCGAAAGCCCCCCAGGTGGTGACAGGGAGGGAGGGAGAAAACGCAAGGGTCATGATGGAATCAAAATTGCAAAAACAAGGTTTTGAAAGTCTGAATAAAACCAAGTAAAAGACATGCAGATTTACCAGATCCCAGGAGAGACGAGAGGAGGTGGGAAGCCTCAACGCTGCTCGTGTGTCGTACAGGTGGAGAGGCTGCAAGGTGCCATTCCTAGAGAGGGGGAGGAGGGAGAAGCCTAGGACTAAATGTAACTATGAGAATAAAAAATAAGTTCCACAGAAGATTACATTTCTGCAAAGCCAGTGGCCAAGAGTAGGTTGAAGAGACAGACAGACACACAGGCTGAGGGGAAGGGGTGGAGGGAGGGCAGTGATTCAGAGAGGTCTCAAACAGAATTTTATAGCAATTACTGCCACAAAGGAAACAGCATTTAGCCCCATTTCAGGAATTAGGTTTGAATAGCAATGGGGGCACAATTACTATTTTACTATTACTCTCTTCGCCACTCCTACTGCCCATCACTTCACACATTACAGGAATTTGGTCTGGAAAATTAAGATTCATAGAGAAACCCACCAAAGTCAGGCACCTGACCTATGCCTGGCTTCAGCACAAGGTGCGCTCTCCTCCCTCCAGACTGAATCAACTCGATGGCCCGTTTGTGTGTGATCCCTTGAGTAGATTCACCATTAATCTCAACAATCTGGTCACCAACCTGCAAGAGGAGGAGGACAGAAAATAATCACATCTCAGGCTGTGGTGGCTGAGGGCTGTCGGGGGGGATAAAGGGAAAGGCATCAGGGGAACAGAGGGGCAACTCAGTATGAGGTGGGGATATGGAGAATGTTGGACAGTGGGTGCAGGGTGTGCTGCAAGCTTCCTATTCCTGCATCTTAAAAAAAACAAACACTCATCATTTTTCACAGTTAGGTGATGTCCTTTATGCCATCTTCCTCATGTCTCCTCACACCAAACTCCATCTTTGCTTGTGACAAAAGACAGCATTCGCTGCAAGGCTTGATCTGCTCTGTTTCCTCTGCCCCACCGTAACATCACCTCAATGAATGGACTACCATAAAATGCCACTGATACAAAGCTTAGCAAGTGACACGACGTCCCCCTCCATTACCAGGCAAGATTAACTTTGCGCACTTACATGGATTCTGCCATCGAGCAATGCAGCACCACCTTCTGCCAGGCGGAGAATAAAGAGACCCATGTTGTATTCCTTGCCTCCACGAACACTGAAACCAAACCCTCGGGGACCCCTCTCCAGTTCCACAGAGAAGCAATCAGGGTTCTACTTGGAAACACGCATAAAAGGTTAGAGAGAGAAGGAAAAACAAACAATAAGATCTTGAAACCCTGGAGCACGAGTAATTCACTGCGTGGTATAGTGTAGCTAAAACACAGACTAAATACCCTCAGAACATGGCTATCACTGGCATTAATTCTCCATTAGACCATCTCAGAGGGCAGTTACAAGTCAACCACCTCAGATAAGAGGCAGGGAATTGCATGTAAGCTGAGAAGTAGGCAAGGTCAGCGGATTTCCTTCCTTTAAAAATTAGGGAACCAGTGCATTTTATGACAATCTGACAGCTTCACAATCACTAACAATGTGATTTAAAGAGGAAAAACTTTCACAAGTGAAAATAAATTCTTAAAAGTGCTTAGGATTTGAACTTAATGTTCTGAATTATTGCTCCAGTGCTGTCAAGCTGTCTTTACAACTTTGATCTTCTGAAGACGGGTCTAGGCCCGAAACGCCAGCTTTCCTGCTCCTCTGATGCTGCCTGGTCTGCTGTGTTCATCCAGCTCTACACCTTGTTATCTCTTTACAACTACAATATAGTTAAAATAGAATGAGTTCACAAGGTGGCCCTTCAGCCCATTATTGCTGTGCTATCTTTCTCAGGATGTTATTCAATTAGTGTTGCTCCTCTGCTCTTGCCTCTTGGGAAAAAAAACACTCTCTCCAAGTATTTATCCAAATTCCTTTTGAAAATTACTCCACATGCACCTTTACATGCAGTACGTTCCAGATCACAATGACTCACGACATCTTTTTTAACCAATTTCACTAATTCTGGTTTCTCCCCCAGTGAAAGTAGCTTCCCTTTCTTTTCATTGTATAAAAATAACTTCATGATTTGAACATTCTCTGAAAATCCCTTGAACTTCTCTCCTCTTTGGGGAACCATACAAACTTCTCCACAGAATCTGTTCACCCTTCAAATAAAATCTCCTCTGCACCCTCCCCAAAGTGCGGCATCATTCCTAAAGTATGGAGCCAAGAATTACCCCAATACTCCAACTAGGATCGAACCAGGGATTTATGAATTTATGCAACTTCCTTGCTTCTGAATCTTTCTTTGGGAAGTTTCACTGAGGAATCACATTTGCAAAGTGCAGAATAAAGGATTCCAAGGCTTGAATATACTAACAGTGATGAATTCATAGAATCCCTACAATAGGGAATCAGGCCATTCGGCCCATCGAGTCCACATTGACGGAGTATCTCCAACCCTGACCCACTCTCCTATTCTATCCCTGTAGCCCCGTATTTCTCATGGCCAATCCATCTAACCTGCACATCTTTGGACTGTGGGAGGAAACCGGAGCACCCGGATGAAACCCATGCAGACACGGGGAGAATGTGCAAACTCCACACAGACAGTCACCCGAGGGTGGAAATGAGCCCGGGTCCCTGGCGCCATGAGGCAGCAGTGCTAGCCACTGAGCCAAGGTGCTGCCCAGATGAAGCCATCTGTGTTCTGAGCAGAAGAGCTTGGGGAGGTTGTAGGTTAATGGGATTTGGAAGAAAAACTTCATATTAGAGAGGCCTCAAACACGGAACCAAAACTTCCCTGTTCACCTGCATGACAGTAAAAGAGCCAGTTTCAGTTGTACCTGGGAGAGCCTGCTGCCGGCAGCCCATGTCTCTCTGTCGGGTGGGGGCTGATGGTACTGCTCAGATGAAGTCTGTCTGTAGTCCAAAGGTGGAGGTTTCACATAGTCACAACCTGTAGACTGTCCACTGCTCTTTTCATCTCCATCTGACTTACTGTTAAACAGAGAGTTTAATGAGCCAGGAGGGCCCTCCTTTCCCCACACACATTTACCATAGCATCAATAATTTCCCACTTTCTGCCTCCCTCGATGCGGAATTCATTGCCAGGAAATGGAAAGAACAATCACAGAGGCTTTAGAGGTAAGCCTCATTTACTCAACGCCTGCTTCAGTTAAAGGAGGCCTTTCTCCCATCACCATCCCCACCCCCACGCACCCATAATACTCCCCCACTAAACTGTTTCCTCTTCCTGGCCTTTGCCATCACCCAGTTGGAACATCCTTGCAGCCACCTTGTGCTCTTACCTGTTGTCAGCCACTGGACTGGGTAATGCTGGGGTGCGCACCATGGGTTTGTGCTGCAGGGCTGGGCTCTGTCTCGCCGAGCTGTCTCCTGATGGGGGGCCAGTCACATCTCAAAGGAAAGACAAAAATCAACAAGTTAAATGATTGTCAGCTCCTGTGAGCTCACTACCGGAGGCAACTACAGGAGGCAGCTGTCAGGAGCTTACACACCTGACAGGAAAGGTGAGAGATTGGTCAGTGAAAAGCTCCACATCCCAAACCTCGGTTAGAATCCAGGGAACAAGAGACAAGGACTTCTCTCAGCAGAAGGGTATTAATTCTCAACAAGCTGCACTGCACTGCACAGCCAAGCTTCTTTCTGGTGGCTCATCAGGTTAAGTTGGTTAAGGCACCAGTTTGTCACCTCAGGAACCTGATTCCAGTCCCACTGCGAATGAAGGGGTGCCTCCTCTGTCTGGTTCCAAGGGTCCCATGAAGACCCCTCAATCCAGTTTTTACCAGCAGAAAACTTTTTATTTGAAGTTAATAAGAATGGTGCCGATGGATGGCAACTGTATAAACTTTCCACTGTATTTTACATCAAATACACGTGACGATTAAACATTCAATTCAAATCTATCCCAAATAGGATAAGGCCTGATTTGGCCTTATCACTCAGACAGAGTCAAGAATGGCCAGTATACAACGTGGGAACAATGCCTTCAAAACAGCAGCAGACAGTACTCGGGTGGAGCCAAGGTTGCACGCTTTGAAATTTTCTGTGAAGGCTCAAATTCAAATGTCAATCCAGAAATTTCAGCACATCATCCAGGTTGACATTTCAGAGCAGTACTGAAGTGTTATTCTTTTGGAGCTGCTGGCTTGAACGAATGTTAAACAGGTCCTCTCTCAGGCAGGCATTAACAAGCAATCCCACAGCAACCGGTCAAAGATGAGCAGGAAGTTACTTTGTCCCCCTGGACAATATTTCGCTCTCCACCAGCATCACAAAAACATCATCTGATGTGTGAGACAACAAGGTGCAGAGCTGGATGAACACAGCAGGCCAAGCAGCATCTTAGGAGCAGAAAGGCTGACGTTTTGGGCCTAGACCCTTCATCAGATGAAGGGTCTAGGCCC